AACCAAACACACTTCTTCTCCTTCTTCAACAACACATAACTGAGTCAATCTCAGGCCTATGTTCAACAACACCTAACGACAACTGTTATTTAGGCCGACCATTACTTCAATCGCGGCAGAGGCAACGACAACGGCGACTGTGGCACACTGGCGATGAAACCTTTGGCGACAACGACCTCTGCAACTCTCACTACGTCAATCTCAGGCCTAAGTTCGGCGAGCGAGTTGTTTTGCATAGTGCTCGCCGGTGGAGTGATGAAGAGGATAATGGCTGGGTAGACGTTCTTCAGTGAGTTACGGGTTAGCGAGGCGACGGTAGAGAGAGAATAAGAACTCACTCTAACGAGTAAACGGGTCATCTCTACCACCAGATTGGGTCTCACGAGTGGCCAAGTTGGCCTACTGGGTTAGCTTGCCATCGTGTTCTCAATTAGTACCTACTACGACTCCGCCACATCACCGCCGACGGGTTACCGTTGACGCACATAAACACGCTCAAATTCGATTCAAGGTGCTCACTGTGCCACTGTCAATCTCCGCCACCGGCGGCCTCCACCTTCTACCGATTATGTGATGATTCCAGAAGCGGCAACCCAGTTTAGTCACCGCCGACGACTCTATAGAAACAATTCAAGTTCTATCGGTTCTCAACAATCTCCAAATCGCCGGTACCACTGCAATCCAATGGCATCTTCATTGACAAACTAGGCCTCACCTGGCCAAGTCACCACCATGTGACTCTCATCTCTCTGATGATTCGCTAATATGCTCTCACGCACCAACAGACTCCAACACCCGCCCGATCGAAGCCCGAGGCATCTAGTCGACACCATCCTCTTGATTTCTGAAGTCTCTTTCTGGTCTCTATTTTCGTCGTTGCATTCATGGGTTTTGTTCTCTTGTTCGTCATCATTAATCTTTCGTGAGATGGGTAAAAAAATGCAGCCACACAGAAATGTTAAAGTGTACCCATTTTGGTCAGTTTACAAAATGATATATTTTTATATATTTTATAAAATAGTTTACTAAGGGCAAATTAGTCAAAGTATAATTTAAATGTGTCCGATGGACTTATTTGCACAAAATTGATACTTTAGGAGTGTTTTTTGCACGTGAGAGGTGTGATATGCGCTGTAAACATAATATAGGGGTGTATTGTGCACTTAACCCATATATATATATATATATATATATATATTCATTTCACTTTTTTATCATTTTAAACTCAATTGTACAGCGTTGATTGATGTCTGGATCAACTTCTTAGAGCATCTCCAATGGGGTTACTATATTGGTTGTCAATTCAAAATATAACAGATGGATTAAAATTGATCTATCTAATGGGCTGCTATATTAGCTGCCAAAATTTACCTTTGCCATTTTTTATGCCAAATTTAGCAAAACAAATAGCAATAGCTATTTCTATATTTTGTATCACATTTAACAGAAATATATGGGTTTTGAACTTTTGATTACAAAACAAGAATTACAGACCTTGATATATATATATATATAGACACACACAAAATCAAGAATTACAGACCTAGATTAGTTGATTTAGAAAGAAAAAAAAATTAAAGCAAAACCCATACATACAAGTTAGCAGTTGCGAGGAGGGGGGGAAGCTTGAGAGTTGAGAGATAGCGGCTGAAGCTTGCGAACAGTGAACCCGAACTGGAACAGCGAACGATGGAAACTAAAAGATATGGGTTTTGATTTTTTGAACAATCTGAAATGATACTCCGATATGGGTTTTGATTTTTTGAACAATCTGAAATGATACTCCGATATGGGTTTTGATATAGGTAATTGGTTTTGAACTTTGGATTCTTGCAGACAGATAGATAAACTGAAATATGTGGGTTTTGAACTTCTGATTCTTGTAGATTTTGTAGTTTGCAGTTGCAGAGAGAGAGAGAGAGAGAGAGAGAGAGAGAGAGAGAGAGAGAGGGGGAGAGGGCAAGTTCTCAGAGTTGAGAACGAGAATAGAGATAGAGGCAATTAGGCTGAAATGATTTGCCCTAAAAATATATATATTTTTAATAATAATATAATCAAATATATATAATATACATATATATATATAATATATATAAATTTTCGAAAAAGAAAAAAATATATTATACAAAAAAATTAATTCACAAATAGTGGTAAAAAAAATAATAATAAATTTATTTTTTTGTTTTTTTTGGTCCTTTTTGGACCAGATATTTTAGATTTTTGCTTCTTTTTAATTAGATTTAATTTAGTTTCCTTCTAATGTCTACAACTTGACTTGAAATGTGTCTAATATTAATATTACTGATACAAATATAAATAGTGGGAATGGTAGTTGAAAAAGAATGGTGGTTATGTCAAAAAATAGCATTTTGCATGAAATTCACCATTAGAGCAGAATTGGTAAAATGTAGCATTTTGACACTGTAGCACCTGTCAAAATATAGATTTGGCACGTGAAAATGACTTTTAGCATTGGAGATGGTCTTAGTCGTGGGAAGTAGACTCTCCAATGGTACTGTGGTCATTTCAATTTTAATTTTCATGCATCTTCAAAATGATATTAGGACATCTAAATGTCAAAAAAGTATTTTAAAACTTGAACCCAACACCTGAACATAAAAATGAAAATTATTTTATATTTAGGTCCATTTGTTTTGAAGTACAATATTTTTTTTACAAAATATTTTTTTTCAAAAATATATATTTTTATTTTTATTCTTCAATGTTTGACAAAGATTTAGGTCGAGTCTATCTGGGTAGGGCATATAAAATAACTTATCGAAAATTGATCAATAAATTATTTTTATTAAATTTTAATATTTTTATTTTCATAAATATTTTACGACATTCAAACGCCAAAAATTACAAAAATATATTTTACATCCAAATAAACAAGACCCCTGCATCCAAATAAAACAGAGCCTTATTCTACTTGTAAAACGTAAGGAAAATGTTTGCCTCGAAACAAACCGAGTTTCAGTTTTAAAAGTAATATTTGTCATTAGGAATTAGGATACTAAAAGTTAACAGGGAGTTTAGAGGTTATTACTTTTTAAATTAGAATTATTAGTAGTAGTAGAAAAATCTTAAATTGTATTGGAGGTTTAGGGTCCAAGAGGGAACTAATAAGTTTTTATGCTTTGCAAATTAAGCTGCTTTTGTTTCGACGTAAAATATTATCTTCAGAAAAGATTTTACTTTTTCTAATAAAATATTTTTTTATTTTTACTTATTCGGTATTTGGCAGAAATTTAGGTCGATGTTGAGGTCGAGTTCATCGAACAGGACATATAAAATAACTTACTGAAAATTGATGGGTAAGTTATATTTGTTAAATTTTAATATATGTTTTTCTCCGTAAATATTTTACAACAACCAAATACCAAAAAATAAAAAAATATTTTCTAAAAAATATTTTACACCCAAACAAACGCATGAAATGAGATTATTTTTTGTCAATTCACGTATATAAATTACATAATTTATACAAATTACTAGTGACAGCAGCAGCAGTAATTCATATCCTTTCAAATTAGAATATCAAGAATTCAAATCCTTATAAAAAATACAATGTGGGGGTGTGAGTTTTTTTCTTCAATTTTTTCCCGAATTGGTGTGTGAATTTGTTGGTTGGATATATAAAATAATAATAATAAATAACAATTTATACAAATTAAGCTAAGGTGTAAAAATAACTCATAAGGTGTAAAAATTATTTTTAAAAAAAATTAGTACAACAACTCTACGGGATACATATTATTATTATGATTATTGCCAGTAACTCTTACACTCACTTCACTTTTGTTTACTTGCTCATCATAAATGAATTCGTGTTTAGAACTATATTTCAACGTCATCTTTGGATTACTGATGATGATCGCACTTACTTTTATTCTATATTTAATTACCCACGAATCATTTTTTTTCTTAAAGAGTTGACTTTGCTATCTATTTATTTATATGACACCTTCTAGCCCGGTAATCAAGCCTCGTTTTTTCAAATGAACGTGAACATGAACATGCGAAGTAGGGATGTTAATTTTTACCGTCCCATTAATAATGGATATGGAAACATTTTTTATACCGTTGGGGCGAAAATGAATACAAATTTTGTACCCGTCGCGAATCACGGGGCGAGTAAGGGTTCAATATACATATCCTAGGAGCCCCGCCCCGCTAAGTATATAACTATATTTTATATATATATATAAAAACTTGGTATTAAATTTACTTTTATTTTTGTTTATTATGTTCTCTGAATTATGTTATGTGCATGTTATTTTTTTTATTTTTGTTGGGATACATAATTTCATTTATGTTGTGCCATTCCCAGGCTTTCCACATTCAAATAGGAGGAGTTTAAGTTCCAAAAAGTAGGAGAAAAAAATTTATTAACGGGGCGGGCATAGGGCACAGTATTTCCCAACGGAGCGGGGCTGAACATGAAAATCCAACCCGTCGAGGGTCTCAGGGCGGGCATGGACTTGACAAAAAATAAAAAGGGTGGGACGGGATTAGGGAAACCAGCTCCAAACCCGCCCCGTTGCCATCCCTAATGCGAAGTGTGTACGCTTGCTTTTAAAAAAATAATAATAAATAAATATTTCTTCCGCCTCATATAAAACTATCCCTTTTCAAAAATCTAATTTTTTAAGGTGATATCTTTTATTAGGTTTTATTTTATTTTATTTTATTATTATTATTATTATTTTTTATTGTATTAGTAGTAGATGAATTATCAATTTATCCATAATTGGTTCACAATAACGTGATGGTTTAGCCCCCAAAAAAAAAAAGTAAATTGACTGTTCAATTTGTGACATCTATTTTGGGACTAAAACTGGAAATGTGGACATTTTTTTGTGGAACAGAGGAAGTATAAAATTAAATTAAATTAAATAATAATGACAACTGCAAAATCAATAGAGGATGGACCTTTACGGAAAAAGCAAGGGTTGCATTTAAACAAAGAAACTAGTATAGTTATACTATCCATAATTGTAAAAACAGCTCTCAACAACCAGTCTACAGCCTGCGACGGTTGGAAGCAGTAATGCACAAAAATTGGCCCCTATTTGACTCTTAGATGAACAAACTATATGATCAAAACTATAATTCAGTGCATTGACTTATAGTTGCACTTCACATGTCCTCTCCGAAATCTTTGCACCAGAAAAAAAACAAAGAAAACACCACAGCAGCAGAAGCCATACATATATCTATTTCATATAATGCAGATTCATCACCATGGATGAACCTCTTCTCCCCAAGACGGCAGCAGCAGCAGCAGCAGAAGCATCCAACAAATCGCCATTAAAGAAAGAATTCCCCTCTGGTTTCCTCGACATCAATACGTCCACCGCTCATCTCATCAACGACAGCATAATTCCCATCATCACAACACCCAATTCTTCTTTCATAAACCTAGTAGCCAATTTAAACAAAAAGAATAGACTCTCCCGGAGGTCAAACTCGGCACCTTCCATTATAACGGACGTGAAGGAAGCCTTTCAGGATTCTTTGGACCCAAGACCTGCAAGAAAATCAACACCTGTAGTCGTCAGGCAAGCTTTCATCGGTATTGTCATATATTCCATAATTGGCACCACAGTATATTTAATGAAAAGTGGAAGTTTCAAAGGCACTGAAACAGTAAAGCCGGTGGATGCCCTGTACTTCAGTGTGGTCAGTCTTTGTACCATTGGCTACGGTGATATTGTCCCAGACACAACATTCACAAAGCTATTTACATGTGCCTTCATCTTAGTTGGTTTCGGGTTTATCGATATATTGCTTAATGGGTTGGTTACATATGTTCTGGACAGACAAGAGACAGTATTGTTGAGCACTGTTGATGAGAATCGATTAAATATGGTTCGAACATATATGATAGATACTGCAAAGGGGCGAATGAGGATAAGAATGAAAGTAGGGCTGGCTTTGGCAGTTGTGATCAGTTGCATTGCAATAGGGACAATTACAGTGCATTATTTAGAGGGAATGAGTTGGGTTGATAGTTTTTATCTATCCGTAACGTCTGTGACCACAGTGGGTTATGGGGATTATGCCTTCTCTACGCTAGTGGGCAGGTGTTTTGCTATAGTTTGGCTATTAGTAAGCACACTAGCTGTTGCGAGGGCCTTTCTGTATCTGACTGAGCTAAGGATTGACAAGCGTAACCGTAAGATTGCCAAATGGGTTCTTCAGAGGAAGATGACACTAGGGGATTTAGTGGCTGCAGATCTTGACCATGATGGAGTCATCAGGTGTGTATGATATTACCTTACACATGGCATCTAAACATATGTTTTATCACATATATTTATTACTTACAAGTCAACATAGAGATTCCTACTTAGTACCCTTGCATAGTTTAGCTTTTTGTTCTATCCCTCTGCATTTATAATTGCTTCCAATTCATCTAAAACATATACAATAATCTAGACGTGCCAATGATAAAAAATTAGGGGCTGGTCACTTTTTATCACAGAAGAAATGTAAAGATATGCACATGCACATGCACACGTACACATATTTAAACGCTTTGGGGTACAAAATGCAAAATATAATTGCTCAGAGCCTAGACATTTAAAGCAATTTGGGAAGAAAGACACGAGATTTTAATTTCTTTTGTGGACAAGGGGCAACAAAGTGTCGCAATTTTCTAAGTTTATGAAATGTGGCTTTTTATGCACATGTTTTTGGATACAAAACAATTATGGAGTTACATCTATCTGTAGATGCATGTGGAACAATTAAAGAATGATATACATAAAAATCAGAGAATTACTTATGGAAGGTGCTACAAGAGGGTATAATACACCACAAAGAGGTGAGCGAGTTACAAGAAATGGATTATGGATGTCTGTCTTGACAAATAAAATGAAACTTACAGAAGAAATTTTTTTATCAAAACAACACAAAAATAGGAAAAAAATAAATAAACAAAGATAACTAATGATGCCACAGATGACCGAAACAATTATTACAGTTGCTATAAATTCTTAGGATAATGAGTATAAACTCAAAGATAATTGATTGTGCTTGATTAATCAAATAAAGAGAAGTGAAGGAAATAGTTGAATTCAAATGAGGATGCTGATTAACGCTTCAGCACAAGTGAAAATCACAAATCAGGGAAATGGGCAGAGTTCATGGAAAGGAGAAAACGTATTTAAGAAGGCTGAGACAGATCTCCATCTAGAAAACTTCCAAAATATCTTATTTATGTATTATTAACAAGTAAGGGAAAAAGGGAATACTAACTGAAAATATACAGTCATTGACAAACAATGTACACTAGGTAATGTTCTTATTGGACAAACAAAAACATCCTCAGAATCCTCCAATGATAGTAAAAAGAGACGGACTCTAAAACAGACATATACAAAATAAATAAATAAGCAAGCTGAAAGAAACTGTGACAAGATGGGGACAGGGATAACACTTTTGTATGATACGTAATAATACCAACTTTAGCTTGGTAAAATCTTCTTCTTTAGAACACTGTAAAGACTGCAGAACTGCTACAAGCTTGAAGAAGTTTGTGGCATTGATACATACAGCAGCAAAAATAGACACCCTGCACTGGATAATACTTATCAGTGGTACAATAATTTTAGGACAGTATCTTGCTCCTGGATCAGAGCTCTCAAAAGCTACTTTCTTATGAAAAATAAATTTGTTTAAGGAGCTCCTTGGACCTTCATTCGTGTAGGAGGACTGATCATAAATAGCTTGGAAAATTAAATATCGGATTTCAGAAGCAACGGTTCTAATCGAATCCATATGTGGAACTTGAGGACACAGGGAAATCAAGTAATAATTAGCAAGGTATTTGGCGATGGGAGAAAAGAGATCTCTGTTATGATATGGTTTTATCAGGGATCAATTATAGAGTTAAAATGTATAGATATGTAGAAGATAAGGTTCCTTGATTGATATCATCAACAAATGAATCTGTTAGTTTGATAAATCACACAAATTTGTTGGAAATGGGGTTTCAAGTGAAGCAGTTCTACTAGAAAATTAGTTTACAAGACATATGGTCCACACAGCTCTAGCCTTATATTCTCCAAATTTCAATAAAATAGGCCACCTGATTTTATTTGGCGAGACCAATCTAAGATGGAATTTCAGTGTTGAAAGATATAAAAATTAAAGAGAGAAATTAAACGGTTTGGCCACTACGGCCTACGTCAACGACACACAGCCCAAAAGGCTACATCACTTTTATTATATTCTCTTTTCAGATTGTTTATTTTTTTCCTAGTTGGGTACTCACACACACTCGAACCCCTGACCTCTCTTTGAGAAGTAGGGGCTTGGTACTGCTAGGCCACTGGCCTGTTGGTTCTTTTTTCAGATTGTTTACAATGAGCACCTTTATTTATAGGTGAAATAATACAAGTGATAAATATGGAAAATACATTGATGCAGGATTCCTAAAATCAATCCCATACTCCCCCCCCCCCCTCACCAATTGGTACACGAAGATTTTAACTCAAGTGTCTAACTTGAAACTAAATATGGAGTTGTCGAGAGCCTAAGACAAGTTAATCTGGAGATCCAAGATGACTTGATCTGAAGATCCAAGACAAATTGATTCGAAGATCCAAGGCGAGTAGAGTATAGAGTAGGGTATGATAAACCTACTCTGATACCATGTCGAAAGATATAAGAATTGAAGAAAGAAAATGAACATGAAGAACACAAGGTTACAATGTGGTTCGGCCACTATGGCCTACGTCCACCACGACACACAAAACCCAAAGGGGCTACATCAATTTTATTACGTTCTCCCTTCAGATTGTTTACAATAAGCACCTCTATTTATAGGTGAAAGAATTCAAGTTATAAATATGGAAAATACATTGATGGAGGATTCCTAAAATCAATCCCATAAATCACTCCAATCAATATTCTATCATAGGCTAAAATCACTCCTATAATATTCTCCAACATTTAGCTATCTGGGAAGTTCAGTAACAAGAGGTTACTAGTGGGATATCCTATTCTCTGATTTGTAATAATTTTTTTTTTTTTTTTTTTTTTTGGTGGGAGCATCATCAAGGTTTTATAAATCATCATCATCTTCTCTAACTATTCTCTTATTTGAAGCACAATCATCTTTCCCTACTAATTTCCTTATGGGTGCAGTAAATCTGAATACGTCATTTACAAGCTTAAGGAAATGGGGAAAGTATCAGACAAGGACATCTTGCAAATATGCAACCAGTTTGATATGTTAGATAACAGCAACCATGGTAAAATTACTGTTGCAGATCTCATGGAAAGTGACACTGATTGATCCAAAGCTATCTTCCTTATTGGAAAGGAAAATGCCAAGTTGTCGAGATCTCGTGCCTTGGAGATGGAACCCTCCACAGACTACAGAAACGAAGAAACATGAAAATACCTTCTGTTTCTAAAATATAGAAGAATAGAAGAGGGGACAAGATGCTATCCTAACTGTTAATCTCTTCAAAAACCAGTCAAAATGGCTGCACTAACTGGAGTTATTATTTGCAACTTCTTTCATATAAAAAGCAATCCCCAGCTTCAAAATTGTTTCCCATTATTGTTTCTACCTCTATCTGGGCTATCTGGAGAGAAAGGAAATCAAGATTGCATCAAGGGGTAATATAGGTGTGCTGTTGGCATAACCAGATTAGTTGTCTTTGAGGTGATGGAAGTAGCTGCTATTCCTTCCATTGATGATCTTTGTAATCAGTATTAGACTTGTGATTTTCGTGTTTTACACTCACTTCCATGTTTATAGGAAGTGGTCTTTTTCAATTAATTTTGAGGTCTTGTCACAGTGAGGGTATGCCCTCACTATAGTTCATTTACTGAATGCTTATCTTTGGAATGAAATCAACTCATTTACAGACAAAAAAAAAAAAAAAAAAAATAAGAAAAGAAAAGAAAAAAAAGGAATCCCCAGTAAACTTTGGGTGTTACTCCAGTACTACTCGTTATGTGTGGTCAGGGACGAGGTAAATTTCCATCAATTTGCTAATGCATACTGTATATTATAGGTCTATAATGTACAGAAGGCTGAGAAGCTATCTCAAAAAGGTACAATTCAATTTCTGCTCTTGATTTTAGTGAGAATTTTCAGTCACATGGAATCCTAGCACTGCTGGTATATTGCTAGAACATGCCTCCTAACAAGTATGCCAACATAACATAATAGCACCAATTACCAAAAAGACTTGATATATATAAAAAAAATGAGTAATTCAATTTCAAGTTGACAACATTTAAAAAGAAACCAAACAATGCTCAAAATACAACAGGGAATGGTAAACATGTCGTAACTCTTAACATCACAACACTCCCTTTTCTTTTCTTTTTTTCTTTCTTTGTCCTAAAAGAGAAGAAAGAAAGATTCCTGACATGGAACAAGTTGCAATCGTCCCGTCGAAAGAGAATAGTTATCAACATATTGTGTTATGGATGCTCTGTGCTGATACGCATGTAAAATTGTGCTGCTTCTCAGATCTTCGTCATTGAAAAGCTCAAGGGTCTGGTGACTTATTTGCGGAGTTGGATTACATTGTTTCTAGTATCTGCTTAGCTCATGTAAAGCAATTCTACAAGTCTTACCTGTCCAAATCTCATAGCGTTATGGATTCCTTACTTTACTAAATGTAAAGGATAAACTATAATTTATGGTTTCATGACTCTATAAAGAAACATCACCCAATTCTGGTCCTGCTACAGTAGGGTCCTGGGGAGGGAGGACTCGATACAGACCTAACCTTCCTTTTGTATTTCAGAAAGTGGAAGCTTTGATGCTCAAAATCGCACAAATGGCACTGATATTGAAGCCTAAAACTGTTGAACTAGGCAACAGCCCTTGGTTTCATGGGTCTATGTTATACTTACTACTTTGAACCAGTCTTTACTATATATACTAGTTAAATAAAATAATTGAAAATAACTCGTCTACGGGAACACAACAATAACAATTGAAAAGAAGCAACTGGAAAAGGTTCTGATGGCCATACTGCACCAGTTTGCAGATGATGATCCCAGGATAATTCCAAAGAAAAAGGGAAAGATGGCACATACTAAGCTTCTCATAATATATCATTAATAAGTGGCACATACATCACAATACCATACATAATTGGCAAACAAAAGAAAAAATTATTTAAATTACAAAACAAACAAGAAAATAACAGTACCTAGATGAAGGTCAATCATTAAAAATATATATACAAAACATTAGGGTAACAAGGAGAAGAGTCCAAAAATTATTGAGGCCATTGAAAAGTATAATGCCAAAAAAATGTCATATTGGACCACCTACCAGATTGGACCATTTATCAAAATGAGAAGCAATTAAACAAATCTGTCTCTACATGGTAAACCTAACAGTTGAACAATCTTGGACACAATAACAAGACTAGTAATCCAATGGTGACATTGTTAGTGTGTGTGTGTGTGTTTGTCAATATGCAAGCTGTACATTATTTGGTAATTTCAGTCAATGGGCAAATGTTTCTACACAGTCCCATCTAACAAGATTGATTACTTTAAAAGAATGCCCACTACCTTTTACCAATAGACAACAGATAACACAAGTTAAGCATCACAACTAAGGTATGTAAGGAGTAGCAATTGGCTTGCTATGAGAAAGGCAGAAGCTCAAATGGGCTTGAAACATGTCATGTTTGTCTTTTGGTTTAAAACTGAAAAGATTCAATTTTTTCCTTTGCATACTTTTCTATTTAGCCAAATCCCAATGATTAAGTGGCAAGCTTGTAGATGAGCACAACCAATTACCAGTCTACCAAAATAGTTTAGAAGATAAAGTCATTTTAGAAAGTATATTCTCTTTTATCTCAAAAACTATAACAAAAGACTAGCAAGTTAATTAATATCCCCTATAGCTCGTAACCATTTAGGGGACTTTAAAGTAACCAAAAAAAAAAAACATACACCAACAATTCCAGCAGATATGATGAAACACAAACACCCTGACCTTTTCCCTAAAAATACTACGATGGTAAAAAAACAAGAGAGTGAACTTTTCTCATTCATCACTAGCTTTCATTTTTAATTCTTTTTTTACTCAGTAACTCAAAAAAAACTCAGTTTTCTTCAGTTCAGAATGAAATATCACCTCCTATAGCACTGAATTTGAATCTTACTTTATTTAGGGAAAAAAAAAATTGAATCTTACTTTCTCATGCAGAAACTCATATCCTCACCTGCCAGAGGGAGACTGAATACATCAGAACGAAGGTTTATATAATCCCCACTCTTGTCTCCATGATGCTAGCAATTCTGCAAACATAAAATATTTGGATCCTCAATACTGGGAAAACAAGAGAGTGTCTGTAAGAATAATAATTGTTTCAGAGATCCTGCAAAGGGGAGAAGTTGAAATATTCACCAATTCTATGTTTGTTTTCACACTACCTCACTCGAATCTGACGAACGCCCTCAAGGATTTCTACTGTTTGCTGCACCTTCGAATTTTTTGGCTTCTCCTCACCTTCCATCACCAAGGTTGATATCCTTAAAACTGCAAGAAGCTCTCCTTCAATTTTGTAGAGCTGTTGATCTAGATGTTCCAGGAAGTCCTCATAAGAGGATACTCCATTCAAGCTTTGGAGCATATTATTTTCATTCCAAGTTCCCCTAGTCAAAGAATCTTGAAAATTAGCTGGCTCATTACCAATAGGTATGTCTTCTTGACTGCCTTCATGAACTTGTGATACTTCATTCCCATGAAGTTTGAGGGCATTCAGATGTAAGTCTTCATTTTCATTTGATTTTCCTGTAACTTCCTCCTTCGGAGGCACAATCCGAACTGGACTAGAAGCATCTTCTCTGCCTTCCTCAAGATCTAAAGCAACATTACCTACTAACTGAGTTTCCTTCAAAGATATGGCCTGAAACAAAATGAGGCTTCTACTCACAAATCAGGTTAGAAGATATAATTCTTGAATAGAAGGAAAAATATGCCATCCTGGAAATATAAGACAGCACATAGGGTAGGAGTCAGACTTTTAACAGCTCCTAAAGTCATTTTATGTTTGCTGCACATAGTTGTAGTCACTTCAGGTCACATAAATTGAGAATTCTCACATGAAAATTCAGGAGAAAAGAATTAAGACATATAGTGAAGTATATTTCTAGTAATAAACGATTGTTTACAATTAATGCGTACAGCATGAGGAGCTTCCATTACATCCACCATTTCTTATCGCGTGATAAGACCTTGCAGAAGGTCTATGTTATGTCTGACAGGTATTAATGTCTGTCCAAATGGCTGACTCATTTTACCCATAAACTTAAAGACGGGAGATACAGGGGGTTTCAAGCTATCTAATTTTACCATGTCAGGATCTAAGGGTAATTAAAATCCCTGAACGAGGGCTATAGCCTAGTGGTACTTCCTCACCTTCCAAAGTAGATCTAGAGTTCAAGTCCCCATAGGGGTAAAACGGGTGTGTGACTTTTAAACTAGGAGAAAGAAAAAAAAACATCAAATCCCTACGCAAAATAGCATATGTTGAAATATTTACTTCACTCACACAGAAATATCCATAAAAAAGTGGTCAACTACGATTCTATTGCTCCCATTGGTGAATATGAATATGGATAATCTGCATGATAAAAGCAATGTCCAACACATGCATGCTTAAAATGATGTCATGCCATGCCAGTCCCTGTTATTTCACTCCTTATGAAGCGCATGGCGACATAGCTAGTACAGAAATAAATGGGACACAAGTCCACATATGCAGATATTATGAGTTAGCCTTAAGATTCCTAAATATATTAAGCAATGTCATTTTCATCATTATCATCTTCCTTGTTTTCATCCCAACTTAATGGGGTTGACAGTTTTCCTTCCACTCTTATCTATATTACAAGTTATTTCTCCTATTGTATATAATTCATTAGCCAAAATAAAAGATAAGAGACAAAGAGGCAAACTAAAACTAACATAAGATGAAGTAATTGATGCATCTATGACCTAACTTTCATATGTCCATAACCCAAGCCTACTCTACTATAATCACTAATAAGTTTTACTCCAATTTTTCTATGTTGATTACTAATCTAATCTCAAATAATTTCCGAACATCATCACGATATATTTTGTGATATGGATGTGTTGTTCTTGTTTCCCATTGCAATGTTCACCAAAGCTCAGATAATAGTCAATCTCACCATTACTTCTTTCGTATTTGGAAGTTTTAAAGAACCAATTAAAGGTCTAATCAAAATTGGAAGCAAGCAAAAATCTAGAATTATTTTATTACTCACATTGCTTGGAAAACAACATAACATTACATGAGCAAAAAAGGTAGGAAACAAGACCAAATATATAAAATTGTCGTCAGAAATGAAAATTAAAGAAGGTAGATAAATTGATATTTTTTTCATCTAAAGTGCCTGATATTCCTTTTGTATAGCAAGCCAAGCCGTCTCATAATTGACATAGCTGATATTATTGGGAAAATGGTCAACATATTTGAGGTAAGGTGTGCGAATGGGAGGAGGGGGGGAGGAAAGCCATACAATCTTCAAGATGATTTCTTAGTGTCACCTCATGCCTCACAAGGTTCGAAAAGTAGTGAAAGTTTGAGCAAGGCTAGATGAAGAATTTGATTTTCAGTGTCACAAGTCAACGACAAAATAATTCATCTAAAACAAATACCACGATGCCTACAGAAAATAAAACAAGCCCAAGGAACCAAGGGCCATTAAGCCTATCCTTTATTCCAAGGCCAGCAGTATTTATATGCTCATCTCCAGAAAATGTAAATGGTATCTTACTTTATTTTATTGTTGTTGAGAAGCAAAGGATTACTTTCCTTCCAATCAAATCCTTGACATTGGGTTAACAAACTTGCTACGTATTATTTCATTCAACAAGAGACAATAAGCAAAGAATTACTTTGATACAACTTTTGCCCAACTGCATGCAATGGACAAGTCACATGGCCCTTAGAAAGACCAATAATCAGCCACGTTTGAAATAGTCTCCACAATTAATCATATAAGATTATTTTTTCAAATCTTCAGTCTGTCTCCTAAAAGGAAAACAGAAAAGGAAAAAGAAGAAAGAATAGTAAAAAGAGATCACGAAGATGAGAAGGATTTCTAGCTATACTATCCTCAAAAGCTTAATATTCAGTTGTGAGGCCTTCAAGAGCAACTACCTGAAACTTACAAGTTACAAGTTCAGGAAATGTAAGTAATACATTTTCACCTTTTTCTTTTTTTCATTTCTTTTGTTTCTATAAACCACTTGTATTCATGAAAATGCTTTATGATGCTCGCCCTTCAAAAAGGATGCCTCATTAGGTGCACGCTTCCATCAGTCAAGCTCTAAAAAAGGACTCATGTTTTATGACTAAGAATCACGGATACAAGCGCAAGACATGGACAAAATACAACATCCACACAAAAAATCTTTAAAAACTTGGGAGATGAACATGAGCATGGGTCTTTGGATACAAAAAAACTGTTGACTTTAAGATATAATCAAATCAAGAGTAAAGTATAAGAAGAAGAAGAAGAAGAAGAAGAAGAAAAGAAAGGGGATGAGAGAAAAAGAGAGAGAGATGGGGAAGGAGAGAAAGAATGAAAAGAATACTTTCATCCTTCCACCACATTTTATTTATTACTAACAAGTTTTAGAAATTACATATAACCCCCAATATTATATAAGTAATAACAAATAACCCCTGACAACACTCTCCCTCAAGCTGATGCAAATATATCTATCATGTCCAGCTTAACTAACATATTTTGCAAGCAAGTCTTGCTCTCACCCTTAGTCACATCATGTGTGTTGACGTATGGAGTACAAATCAGCCCAAGACGAAGCTTTTCCTTGATGAAGTGTCGATCAACTTCAATGTGCTTTGTCCTGTTATGTTGAAATGGATTGTGGGCAATGCTAATACCAACCTTATTGTCACAATACAACTTCATTGATTCGCGGACAGGATAACCCAACTCACCCAACATCGTTCGTAGCCATAACAACTCACAAACTCCATATGTCATGGATCTGAACTCAACCTATACACTAGATCTAGCTACTACAGACTGTTTCTTGCTTCGCCATGAAACAAGATTACCTCCAACAAATGTGCAATATCCCGAAGTAGATCATCGATCTGTCACAGACCCTGCCCAATCAGCATCAGTACAGGCTACAATACGCAAGTGGCCATAACGGCCAAATAATATCCCCTTACTAGGTGAACCCTTGAGGTAACGAAGAATATGATGAGCTGCCTCAAGGTGAGGTGTACGTGAAGCATGCATAAACTGACTAATCACACTAATAGCGTAGGCAATATTCAGGCGCGTGAGAGATAGATAAATCAGTTTTCCAACCAATCAGTGAAATCTTCCCACATCATCAAATGGGTCTCCATCTACATCATTAAGCTTATGTTCTGCTCAATGGGAATATCAATAGGTCTAACTCCAAGCTTGCCTGTTTCAGCCAACAAATCTAACACATACTTCTGTTGAGAAATGAATACCCCTTTCTTCAATCTGCACACCTTGATGCTAAGAAAGTATCTCAATAATCCGAGGTCTTTAAACTTGAACTCTGTCCCTAAGAATGACTTTATTCGATGAATCTCTTCTGGATCATTTCCAGTGATAACAATATCATCAACATATACAATAAGGGCAGTGATGCAGCCCTGGTGCTTCTTGATGAACAGAGTATGATCTGCCTGACTCTATGTGTACCCTACTCTTTTCACAGCAGTGCTGAACCTTTCAAACCAAGCATGTGGCGACTGCTTCAACCCATGCAAGGCTTTATTTAGCTTACACACTAAATTCTGACCATTGGCAAGCTTAAAACCTAGTGGCATAGTCATATACACCTCTTCCTCCAAGTCACCATGAAGAAAAGCAATCTTTACATCCAACTGATGTAAAGGCCAATTCAAATTAGCTACCAAATAAAGAAGGATGCTTATAGAATTCATCTTGGCAACTAGAGCAAATGCTTCCAGATAATCAATCCTATAAGTCTACGTGAAGGCCTTTGCAACTAACCGGGCTTTATATCTCTCAATTGTTCTGTCTACATGATACTTTATTGTGTAGACCCATTTGCAGCCTACTGGTTTCTTACCCCTAGGGAATGGAACATTATCCCAAGTACCATTCTTCTCAAGGGACTTCATCTCTTCAAGCATGGCTTCCTTCCATGGAGTTTGACTGAAAGCATTTGAAACATTAGAAGGAACAGATACAGAGGAGATACACAAAGTAAAAGCACGATATGTTAGAGATAAGGCATCATAAGATATATGGGATGTTTTGTACAACTACGAACACCCTTACAATAGGCAATAGGGACATCAAGATCAACAAGAATTCTATTGGGAAAAGAATCAGGAGTATCAATGTCAACTAAGGAACTACCTGGATCGAGGGAGACTTCTTGGTCCTGGGGTGAGTCAATGACTTGTTTTGCCCTCCTAGTGTAGACAATTGGTTGCTTTCCCTGCTGCAAATCATCAGTGTTGGGAGGACTGACGTAGGCATCTCAGTAAGAAGCTCCCCTGAATGGGGATGGGCAAAGGACGGGGGCATTCCCACTGAATGGACGACAGATTATCTACCTTTATAGTAGTCTCCCCCTATAGAGAATCCCAAGCAATGGAATAAAAAAGGAATAAACTCAAAGAATGTAACATTCATGGAGTCAAAGCGACGACGAGTGGTAGGGTCATAACATTGATACCCTTTCTGAGTGGCGAAGTATCTAAAAAAGACACATCGGATTGCCTTAGGGTCCATTTTGTCCTTGTGATGATGAATGTGAACATAACAAACACAACCAAACACTTTCGAAGGGACAGTAAACAAGGTATTGTTATAGTGTAAGACAGAG